CACACACGTGCACACACACAGACACACACACACACACACACAAACATACACACACACATACACACACGGTCACACACACACACTCACACACACACACACACACACACACACACACACACACACACACACACACACACACACACACACACACACACAACACACACACACACACACACACACACACACAACACGACACACACACACACACACACACACACACACAACAACACACACACACACACACACACACACACACACACACACACACACACACACACACACACACACACACACACACACACACACACACACACACACACACACACACACACACACACACACACACGTACCAAGTGCACAGTTCTTACATCTTGTGACCTTTAATGATCATTACAGAAACACTCGTTATCGCCCAGAAACTACGTACTTGTAAATTTTCCGTGCCAAAATGTATCTAGACGTTGCCCTTATCTCGTTCTACAAACGTCAAGGCGTCAGAGAGGTCGTAACACAGATTAATTAAGATCGCGCAGTTACGGACTCCATGACGCACATTTCACATCTGTGTACTCCTGATTAGTAAGGCCACACCGACTTAATTTTATGGATGACATCCGCGCGCGCATTGATTTTCGCCTGTTCTAAAAATGATTACGTCCTCCGAGGCTCTGGCCTGGCTCTAGGCCTGGTTAGTCCATGGTAGCTAGTACGCAGCCGGTGGTAACTGTGGAGGATGGCAACCAGACTGCCGAAGCTCCACGACTCAAGAACTCAGTACATACGTACAGTGCCGATTCAGAAATTCCGCAAAAAGCCAGCATGTGCCGGCTTGTCGTATACGTCGCTATGTACGAGTGCTGCCGCAAATTCACAATTCCAGCTTGTATTCCTGTGGTTTTATAGCATTTTTATTTTTGGCCGAAATTTTTTTTATTCGCCCGCGCGCACTAGTTTGGAGGTCTTCAGAGGATGTCATTCATAAAATTGAGTCAGTGTGACCTAAATGGAAGGGTCCTACTAGATGGCGTTAATACCAGTATATTTCCCCAGCTGTCACATATGTTCCTTGTAGAGTTGGAGTTCAGTGAACTACAGCGGGCCCCTTTTACGTCTTGAAGTCAACAAAAAATTCTGATTCTTACTCAAACCTTTATACTGAATACCCAACGATTTACAGTTGCCTAATGATTTATATCGCCGTTAGTCTTGTATATACGAACGCTCATTTGTTGTTTTGTCATTGTCATACCTGTAATTATGTTTACCGAAGGAAACATATTATATTTGCTCTATTTCCTCTTCCTCCTCCTCCTCCTCTTCCGTTCCAAACACCTAAAAAACGTCCATATTTTCGTAATTAGAGCTTGGAGGAAAATGAAATTCAGCATGCTAGTAGGTTGATACGTTAGACATTGAACCTTGGTCATTTTGGCCAACATAGATGTCAGAAAATGATTTTATTGGCAAAAAATGGGTAAAAAAAGTTGCATTTTAAGCCAAAAATCGAACAAAAAGAACGCGTTTGGAACATTCGAACAACCATGGAACAATGGAACAGCGTGTTCGATAACCGCGGGTCATTGACCCTAGCGCTACGCACGGAACACCCGAGCTTTCCAAATATGGGCATCCGCCCTTGTATGACACGAGAAGACATCAGTGGACCAATGTAGCGGTAAGTTTTCATTTTCCTTCGTAGAAATACGGCCATATGAATACCAGTCACGAGTAGAGAATATTGCACTGGGGGTTTGGGTTCAATATCAACAAGTACGACTGCAGATTTCCACAGAACGCCGGCGACTTTGTGTAATTTTTTGCATGTCACCGCCGGCTCAAATTAAAAAAAACGCTCATAATTTACTAGCTCCTGACTTGATAGAATCTCGTATGTATAGAGATTTAGGCTTGCTGCCGTTTTGAAAATAAAGTAAACAGAATTGTGTTCATCTGTAACTATTGTCGACTTTGTAATGTAGGTGCGGGGCCGGGGGAGGGGGGCGTTTGTTTACGTTTATTACTGATGACATGATATAACATGGATATAACATTACGTTTTGTCAGACAGTTTCAGTCTTTTTCGGGATAATACAGTACAGCTAATGGGATAAGCATCAAATCGGGATTTATCGGGATATCCCGGGATTTTTCGGGAACCATGTTGACTAAGATTTTTACAGACAGACGGTGCGGCGCATGTTTGTTTCCTAAATTATGCATGATGGTAACATTAGCACAAACCGCTAGTGTTATTAATACAAATATTTCTTTTTTAATATCGAAAATTTTAGTGGCTTAGTAATGTTTAGAACGATAACAAAATAATACAACCTTCTTG